GGTGGCCATCTCACGAATACCATGTAATGTGATTATGTATAAGGTCCGAACTAGTTAATAATAATTAATTGAAGTTTAAAAGTTAATATAATTATTTGATCTATTGCTTTATCGTTCTATACTCAGATTATTAATTTTAAATAATTGAATTATAAGATAATATAAGTAGTGATTCTTAATGATTCAAAGTCTTACCTGAAGATTTTTCTTGTTTTAATAATAACTTTTGACAATATCAGATTATAATAAAATAACACGAACTCAAATGTTTAGTTCATAAATTAACAATTAAGAATTTCACAATGATGATTACGAACTTGGCGTATCGATGTCGAAAGCACGATTCGACCAGCTCAATGAATATTCAGAGACAGACTCTCTTTAAGCCTTCCGCACTCAGCCCCTTTATAGTATTCCCTTTTATCCCCGCACAATCATCATTGTGTCATTCTCGCAATGTTGCTATTTTATTGACAAGTCATCATAAAATATATGAATTAATACATTAAATACATAAATACATGCGAATAATACACAAATCATTTTGACACTTCATATAATATTATTATAGTTAGTTAAAAAGAGCTGACAAGTATAATTTGTGAATTTNATTATTATAGTTAGTTAAAAAGAGCTGACAAGTATAATTTGTGAATTTTCTCAAAAAAAAAAAAAAAAACAAACATGTTATTCTAAGCTTATGAATATAATTTATAAATAAAAGTGTTAATAATTTTTAAATGACCATTATTATGGACACAAACAGAGCAGTCCTCTGTTATATCATATTGTGATAGTGTTGAGTATATTATGACAAAATCATTAGACAATCACGAAACTTCACAAAATGTATTTTTTTAACCTATAGAACAATTCTAGGTGGCGTACGGCCAAAAAAAAAAAACTTTGAAAAATAAGAGCCACTCTAAGGTGGCGTAGGTCGAAGGGCTCCGATTCGTTCCAATTAACTAGACCAATCTTTTTCAAATTTGACTCATACCAATCCTTAGATGACCCATCTAAAAAAAACCTAAGTGCCTCAATCTTTTTGGTATTATTTATTCTATGTCACTTGCATTCATCTTCAAACTGTTTTATCCATTCTGCAACATTTTGTTTTTTTTTCAAACTTTTCTAATAGAAATTTTTTTTCAACTATATGTAAAGAAGCTTCCTCATTTAAACTAAGTTTTTCTCCAATTCTTTAATTCTTTCCATTAATAAATTTCCTTCTTCAGAAATGTTTGGCTGAATAGTGACATCAAACATAGAGTTTATTTCTTCTAACAGTAGATTTTTAAAGCATAAATTATCTTCCTCATCAAAGTATTCTTTTTTTAAATCTTCATCTATCTTTAAACACACTTTACGAAAACTATTAATTGGTTTTATCGCATTGATTGCACTTTTTATCGTAGATTTTGGTAATAATATTTTGTAACTCTTAATATTTTGATACTCACTTAGCAAAATACACCATAATATTTAATTTTCTGACAAACCAGCTACCTCAATAACAGCTTCTCCTCTTTTGACAATATGCACAAATAATTTTTACTCTTCCATCATTATACCCATTTTCTTTTAATATGGTACCTCCATAATGTAATTAATTTGTAATGTGGCTTATAAAGATTTTATTATTCTGAAAAGAATTGATAACAAACATACATAAATATATAACAAAGACATTTACCTCAAAAGAATAATTAATTACAAGATATTTAACCACGTTAATAATAAGCACTTAATCATAATTAAGGAAAACATAGTGGTAACGTGAATAATAAAACATAAATAATACATAGGTGGCGCCATATATTACATATATATATATATATATATAATTGATGACACGCATGCATAAACGGGTACGAAAATCAAAAAGAAAATTGTACAGAAATAGTGTTACCGGTGTTTGATGAGTGGGGTAGAGTAATGCGGTACAACAGTCTAGTCTCAAGGCTATAGACGATGGGATACGCGAAAATAATAACACGTGGCGCGTGGAGAATTACTAACAACAAACATACATGTGATACTAATATAAGCGTGTTAATAATAATAATTATACTTAAATAACATATGATCAAAACCTGAACATTAAATATATTTACTTCTCAAAGTAAAGTTATCGACAAAAATATACGTGACATTTTTACTTGATTTACAGTTCAATTGATACTTATATTATGCAATATACATATTCTATTCATTATATTTGAATATTTTTTTTAATTAATACATAATTTCAAGTGATTAAAAAAATTATCAAAAAAAAATGGTAAGTATGTTCGTAGACAAGTAAAGGCTTTAATTGAAGAAATGACTACAAAAATGTTAACGTCAATATGAATACAATTTTTATTAGTATAAAACTACTTATTAATAATGTTTATTAATGTGGAAATATCTAACTTACTAATTGTGAAAGAAGTTCTAATAAACTGATGAACCTGAAAGCTTTTCATATATGAATGGTTAAATACTCTTTAGTCTAATATACAGATGATCCATAATGTTTTTTTTAAATCTAATAACTTTTAATCTACTAAAAATTTTGCATTACTTTTTTTGTGATCTTTACATTATTAGATTACGTTAAAATTATATTTCTTATTATTTGATTTTTAATAATATAAAAAATATGTTACTGTTTTCAGTATTTTAATAAAATAATATTGTTATGTAGCACAAATGGATACTGTTCACACTGATGCACATTTTTCATCCATGCTACCAGAATTTTTAACTCAACTTCATGTTTGAAATTTATTCTATTAACTTTCATCCGCTTGCGCCTTCTAAAATGACATTACTGCTCGCATTGACGAAAATTTAGCGTGAATTTTTACCATTTCCATGAGCTTTTTTTAATTTAACATGCATGTTTTTAAATAATTAGAACTAATAAACTGTAACACAGTATTAACAAACAATTTTCCGCTAAAAATATTTATTTAAAAAATAAGAGAAACTTTTAAAATGTGGTTTAAATAATATTTTCATTATTTCAACATATAATAGAATTATATTTATAAAATACTAACTTATTTAATTTTATGCATTTAAAAAAAATAAAAATAATAATCCCTTTTTGGTAACATAATAATATTAATTTGGCAAAAGGTAGTAACCCTAGCATTGAATATTTATCACATCTATCACTTTTTCTTTTTAATGAAAAAAATTATACAGAAAAATAGTGTAGGCGCCGACTGGTGAGCGGGGTGGGGTGAATGCGTTACGACGGTCTAGTCTCAAGGTCATAGACAACGGGATACGCGACATAATAANCGACGGGATACGCGAAATAATAACACGTGCCGCGTGGAGTTACAAAATTACAACATACATGTGAAACTAATATAAGCGTGTTAAAAACAATATTTGTTATAATACATAGAATAAGAATTAACGTTACACATTTCCAATCCACGTATTAAAATACTTGTAACTATTCATTTTAAAATAATTGAATTGCTAGAATCAAGCTATTTTGCAATTATGAAAACAAAATTATTAAAAACAAAAATAAAATTATGATTTTAAGTTATAAATAAACTGATAATATCGTGTAATGTTTTTTTTTTTTTTTTGATACCTTTAAATGCTTGTAATATAATAGTTTGATAATTATATTTTATTGCATTGATTGTTTTTTTTAAGAGCATTTTATTGAAATACTGCAATCATTTTTAAGGATATATAGGTATCGATTCTGAGATAGTGAGACACGAGGAAACAGCGAATATTAATTGAATTTCAATTTATGAGAGTTATCTTTTAAATCTGTTTCCGCATGTATACAAATACTAGATAAAAAATTAAATCTCAAATACCTCCTAAATTGAAGTCCTCGGCGTTTCTATCAATATTGATACCATTTAAATTGTTTAAAATTTCATTCACTTTGAAAGCACTAATTTCACCATTTTTATTAACATGATCCTCAAAATTAACAAGAAGCAGTTGTGTGTAATAAAATGTTTTGGGATACTTTTCCTAAAAAATTCAATGTTGAGTTATTTATTGGTTTAAAAGAATTATTAAAATTAATTAATAAATATTTATAAAAAATAAAAATCAAATTAAGGTATGTATGTAAATTTAAAATTAAATATATTTTTTTTAATAGTGTTAATAGTGAATTTTTTAAGTACTTATCTTAATCTTAAGGTCATGGGTTCGAGCCCCACGTTTGGCGCCAATTTATGTCGTACGTCGATTATACCCCGATATAACACAATAGTAGTACATAAATTAACTAATATTGTGCATATACAAATATATGATGCATTAATATCAGCAATAATTTTGAAAAGTTAATATCTACAAAAATACTGGTTTCAAAGCTGTTATCGACTAGCGATTTTCTATAAAATATATATAATATTTAAAAAAAAATTGTATATTGAATAATTAAATTAAAAAAAAAAATTTTACCTCATTTTTACCTTACCTCATTTGAGACATTTAACATTTCACGTAGTAAACTTTTTAATGGTCCATCATTCTACAAAACATTCAAGATTGTTGTTAATATGACTACTTTAAAAATTGATAGATAATCAGAACTGTAATTAATTTTATATCAAACTTATTGAATTATACAAAATTGTATAATGAGACAGAGTTGTATTTATGTTTTCACTTATCTATTTTTCATAAGAATTATATAAACTTTTATATAGTACGTAAGTTAAATATGTCAGTACATAACAATTTTTACACAAATTTATTAGATATATATTATATTTATATAGACGATATTAAAGAATTTCGATTAAATAGGAGAATAACTGAGTTTTAAAAATTTTTCAAAACTTCCTCACTAATTTACATTTTACTTCTAAAAGTTTCTTAAAAGTAAAAGTATTAACAATTAAGTAATGCAGTAAATAAAATTTAGACCATTATCAGCATTAATAATAATGTCTATTTACCTTCACGTGAAAATTAATTTTTTGCAGGAAGATATTTTGATATGTAAATATAAAATCATTTCATTTTTAATTTACTAACCATGGTCTACTAACCAAATGATTTTAAACACAACGCTACCTTTTTGTTTAATACCACATTACAGTAGAGTCGTAATCAGAGAAAAAAATAATATATGGAAACATCCAATTTTTATTTAAACTATATATTTATGAAAGTCATCGATGTTAATAGTATTTATATTCATAATATATTAGTTTACTATCAATATTTTTAGCTTCGATGCGAAGCTCAGAAGGTATTATTTTTACTATGATGAGTTTTTTTTTTAATTTTTAATTTTTTTTTTTTGTGTCTGTTACCACTTTTTTCAGCTCTCACCAAACCGATTTCTTTCAATGATACGTCAAAAGATCACAAATCGTATCTAGCCGAAGATATTACCCTCAAAAATTGAAAAAATTTCCCTTGTTTTTCGTAAATGGGGGAAACCTCCAAAAAAATTACAAATTTAAAAATCGCTAATTTTCGAAATTTTTTCAAATAAAACTGATATAACTTTTTCAAAAATGAACATATCAATATTACTTTTTTTTAGATGCTTGATGTCTTTATGTCATTTGGTATAATTTTTTTATAAATTTGACACTTTACTTGCCCACAGGGGAGAATTCAAAATGACAACTTTTTCAACTTAACTTTTGAAAGTGTTCTGGAAAGTCTGATACTTTATATATATCTTAAATTAAAACTAATGCAATGTTTTTTATTATGAAAAAAAAAAATTTCGGACTTTATTTTGTCTTTACATTGAAAACAGACATCAAATTTAATAAAAAAAAAATACGATTTTTATAAAAAAATTCTTTAAAAAACTTTATAATGCTATAACATTTTGAAAAATGTATGAATCAATAAAATTTTTTTTATGAAATAATATATATATCAATTTTTCATTCGAAATACTTTATCTTAATCAGAATATAAATAACGAAAAAATAGATCATATAGCTTTTGGAATAATCCACCAATTTTTTAAAATTAAATACTATCTAAAGATTGTCATCGAAGAGTTTTTTTTAATTTTAGTTCTTTATCTTTAATCCTGTCATTAGTACATTTATAATTTTATGCCTTACACAATATTTTCAACAATTCAAAATATTTACTAATTATTTTTCGACAAAGTACAGGTTATTTTATGCTTTATTTTATATTTTTAAATTTGACTCTATCCCTTATTTTTTACTCCTTAAATCCATATAATCACAAAATTTTATTAATGAATCATAAAAAATTAACTTTTACATAATGTGTAAGTTAAATAATACCAGTGAAGAAATTAAATTTGAACAATTTTTCCTTATATCTGTAACTCTCACCTCATCTGAAGAATCAGATGTATCAATTTCTAAGTCTTATGCTGGTCCATCATTCTAAAAATCATTCATTTTATTTGTTAATATGATTATATTTAAAATATGACATATATTTAAAAATGTAATTTATTGAATATCAAACATATTTAACAATTTACAATTGTATACTGAGTCAGTGTTGTATTTAAGATTTTACTGATCTATTTTTCACTTGATTCATATGAACTTTTTTAAATATATAATTAAATCATTTTAGTATATTATAATTGTATGTTTTATTATTATCAATGTTTATCATATAATAATCATTTATATTCTTTTACAAACATATGTGTATAAAGGAATGTACTTTAGCTACTAAATAATAGTAAGAATTGTAAAAAAAAAAATAATAATAATAATTATAAATACTTGATTTGACTCATAGTTACTAGTTTCTTCGTCGGAGATGGGCATTCCTGTTAAAAATATGGGTAAGATAATTACATACATAAAACAAAGGAATATTCTAGAACAAAAATAGAAACCCATTTTTAATAATGATTATAATTGTAATAATAATGAAAGTCTAACACTATCAATATAATTTCAATAATATCAGGTTAACGTTATAAATTATTTTTATTATAAAGTTAATTTTTTTTTTTATAAAAGGATTTATTGCATTTGAAATATCTAAAATATGGTAGAAAAAAAATGTATTTTCAACAAATATATAATTAAAGTATAATCATTTTAAATAATACTTGTATGAATCAAATTTATTTGACATAATAAAAGAGTTATACATTTATAAAAATTATTCATAGATTATTGCATGATATTTTTATGTATTTCTTTTCAAATGAAAAAAAATATAGAATAGAAATACCATTTGTTTTAAAAAAATGCAGATTATTAATATAAATATTAATTTTAAATTTAATTAAGTATGTTATTTATTGCTAAAATGTTTTCCAAATTTTATTAATAGTGTATGGTAGAAAATTTGCGTTATAAATAAGATTATTTTTTTGGATTAAAAATATGTTCGCTATTTTCCGATTTTTAATGGAGATATTTTTGAATATTGAATAATTGATTAATATCAAACAATGAGAAAATTTTCAAATATAATTTTAATGAATAAATGAATAAAAAAAAATGTAATGCATGATTTGCGATTATTTACATTTTATCTTAATAGTGTAGGGTTGCAAGTTGATGCTAATAATAAGATTACGAGGGCGTCCAAGTAAATATAATGTTTTAAAACCCAACCGTATGTCTATACGGTAACTCCTGAAGAACAACCCCAACCCAAACCAAAAATTAAAAAATGTTATTATTCATTAATTAAAAATAATATATTTTTAAAATTATTAATTTTTTACAAATTTTCAAAACAAGCTATATTTTTTATTTTATTTCATTTTTTATGATTTATTTCAACTAATACTAGTTCAATGCTATAAAATTCAACTTAATAACTCAAGTCATTTATATTCAAGTCAGTATAAACATTTTAAACGGTTGTAATGAAGCGTTGAAACTTTTAAATTAACAAAGTATAAAAAATTATCTGTTTAATTATTTTTGTGTTATCAATATATTGTTATCACATGTAAAAAATTCAATAATTTTTTAAAAATAATATACCAAAATATTTGTCTTTACATAAGGATATTTTTGTATCTTGATTCGATAACCTCTAATATAGGTTTTTTTTATCGATTTATAGAATATTCTTCGAAAATTCGAGGTCAAAATCTTAAAATGCTGTTCGCCTTGACTTAAATTTTTCCAAATGATCTTACATTTTCAGAATATTATTTTTTTATACTAAAGAAAAAAATAGAAAGGTATCATGTAAGAAATTTCGAAATTCGTTAAATAAGAGCCACCATAATATACAAAGCTCTTTAGTTCTTATAAATCGTTTGATGAATTTTTTTTTAATATTACTTATTTCAATTTGAAATTAATACGGTACTTTTGAAATAAATACAGTATTTTAAATTACGAATAAATAATAAAAGTTATTTTTTTCGATTATGATTCCTGTGGTAATTAGTGGCGTTATAAGGGAGACAACATGGACATTTGCCACAACTTAAATTTTCAGTAGAAATCAGGACCAATAGATCTATACTCATTTTAAATCGCGCTATACCAAGTCATTTAACTGATATCTATGTAACATAGTTAAAATCCAACTTTTTGTTGTGAAAATAAAATTTTATATGATAAGAAAAATATTTTTTCCTCAAAAACATATGATATCATTGTGTTAAGAGTTAATGTTCTCATTAATTATTAAGAAACCTGGCTTAACTCTGATATATTTGATTCTAAATTATGTTTGGATAATTATAATGTTTACCGATGTGATAGAAGTATTTTAATGAGTAATTGTACTAATGGTAGTGGTGTCCTTATTGCTGTGCATAAAAATTTTCATTCACAAATTGTTTCTATCTCTAATTTAAGCATTGAAAAAATTTATATTAGTTTTAGTTGTAATAATGAAAATTTTATAGTTGGTGGTGTATATTTTCCTCCTAACTCTCCTATTCAATCCTACGATACTTACTATAGTTGAAAATCTAGTTTATTGTTATAGCACCCATAGTTTTATTCTTTGTGGTGATTTTAACTTATCTAATATTAGTTGGTCTAATGATAATTTAGATATTTTGTATTCAATGGCTACCGAAAATAGAACTCATCCTATTCCTGAGACATTTGCTTTCTTAAACTTTTATCAAGTTAATAATGTTTTCAACGTGTACAATTCAATGTTAGATCTTATATTTACAAATAAGAATCTCTTTAAAGTTTATATGGTGCATGATCCAATACCAAGGCTTATCATCGACTGTGAAAACGTCGTCGAAATCCAAGTACACGGTAATGCAGACGCATCAGTGCGTGCGTATGGAGCTTGTTTGTACCTTCGAGCAACCAACTGTATGAGCGACGCGTTTAATACCAGTCAAATATTGGATGGCTCCAACCAAACCCAACCTTCCGGGCGGAACACCTTGTCCGTCTCCCGGGATTTAACGAAATCGGGCGTCATTAGGTTACCGGCCAAGGTGGATAGGGAGGAGGCCATGAACCGGAAGGTGTCGACAAAACGTATGAAGAAGTTATTGGTCACGTATTTCGTGAACGAAATATACTTCTTTTTGGATTTCGGTATGACCAGAATCCTTTGGTCGTCGTACTTCAATTCAGTGACAATGAAATGCGCATCGAAACCTGAAAGGTTGTGCAAGAAGCACGGCACAAAATTAACCGTCTTCACTTTCAGGTTACACGCATTGCACAACATCTCTCTGAATCGGCCCGATAAATGGCAGTGGTCTGCGACTTTGGGGTTGGAATCTTTGAATGCCGTGCGACACAAGTCGCATACCGCTTTCTCCCCGTGCCTGCGCACATCATCGATAGTCATTCGGATGGAAACGTTGGTTTTGCGCAACAATTTAGAAATTTTGCGCGTCACTTCAGTTACAGCCATCACAAATGCCTTGGCAACCTCTTCGCGATCCTCGGAGCCACGGTATATCACCGGTGATTGCGATATACCATAACGTTCGAGGAGCTCGGAGGGCACATCGTCCGATATTTTCACCATGAACCCATAGATCATGGGATGGTGAATGTGCACAGTCCTAGTATAGGCACCCATACGATCGTCTGTTTGCTCCAGTAAGGCTTCAAAATCAGCGTAGATGACGAACGGTAACCGTTGCATCTATACTCACGCGTCAAATTCGACCTTACTACCCTCTGTCGGCATAACAGATAAAATAGGTTTATTTTTGCCGCATATCAACTTGTGTTGCTCCAACGCTTGTTGACCCCTAAGAATATGCTTTTGAGGCATATCATCAAAGTTGGTGAAGCAACGTTTGCAAGTTTATATGCGGCATTTGTGATTAGTTTTTTTTGGCTGCGCACTAGCCTCAAAAAATCTGAAATGTACACGTTAAGTGATTTTTCAGAGTCGCTAATATATAACAGGTCAAAATGATTTTACTGCTCTTGGTCGGTGACTCTTAGAGGATACACCAACCACTTCATCTTAACGTCGTCTCGTTTCAAGCCGTATACATTGACAGACACGTTAGGATATCGTTGCTCAAATATTTTAATTTAGGACACAGGTGTGGGGAATGTCAACCCCGTGAAATCATATCTGTATTCCTCGTTAAAATATTTTCGATCAACGCGATATTTGTGGTCTCCCTTGACGTGTCTCACCAAAATGGATCACTTGAAACAAGATTGATCGATATTCTGCGAATTGATGATTGCTTTTCTTTGTTTAATCTCTGGTGGGACAGTAATATATGATGAGCCGGCGAGGGGCGTATACTTGTATACGCTGTGCATAAGGCCGTCGATATACGTTAACGTGAATCCTGTTATGAATACTTAACTTAGTTTTATTATTGTCCCACAATTGTAATAACAGATTATCATAAATTGAATTGTAATTGAGGTCAGCCTAAAAGAATGTGTTTATAAAGTATTTTTTTCGGAATTGCAAAACCGGAAAGTGGGCCGACTGCGACTGTTGGAATTCAGAGCATCGTTAGTCATTTGACAACTATTGTGCGATTACTATTACTTTTATTTTAATAAACTAATTAATTATTCGGCAATACTATTTTATTTTATTCTATTTGTTACTCTCGTAACATTAATTTTGGTGGCAGCGGTGCGATACCGAAGAGACTGGTGGTGGAATAATTTTAATTTTTATCATAAAAGTTACTAAGTACGCAAACAATAGTCAAATAACTCATCAGAAACTCCAGAATCTCAAGAAAAGCATTGAACTCAAAATACAGAAAATCTTCAAAAATCAAACAACTTCAAGAAAATCAAATTAAAAATAAGATAAAATAATAATAATAAACAACAAATAAAACTTGTTTGTTATATTTAATACAATTAACGGTTAGTAATTTCTACTGTTATTTCGTTCACTATCAACGTATATACTTTCGCCGCCGCCCGAACTCATATATATATATATATATATTTTACAAAAATATTAAAAAAAAAATTCACTAAAAACCCACTGGTCAAGTTTCTCCGCGTGACCAGTTTCAGAGCGTAGAACATCAATAAAGAAATATCAATCCAACCCAACCAAACTATCAACACATCATGTTTATGGTGGTGAATGTCTTATTACTGTAAGTTTTATTTTGTAGTTAATTTATTAAAAAAAAAAAAATAATAATAATAATAATAATACATTTATGTATATAGATAATATTTTTCGTTTTTAAGTGTATTCATTTATACGTACATACATATATATATTTTTTTTAATAAATAAGTATCAGAAAATCTTGGGGGTAAATTAGTTAGTTATTTATATATTTATATAATTTACATTTATCTATTTTTTATTCATGTTTATTATTTAATTATCTTTTGTGGGATCAGCTCAGCTTTGAAATTTAAGATATTATTATAAGTATTGTTTATGAGTAATTCTAGAAGTAGAAGTAGTAGTCCTATCGACGACAAATCAGTTGATCCTGATTTCAAACCAACCTGTAGTACTAAAGTATCTGTTTCAAAACATCCTTCTCGTAATTTACGTTCA